AATTACTGTTAATTCGTCGGGTCCGGTGGGGTTCGGAAATTATGGCTACGGGCCGGGTCTGATTTTTTGTGCCTGAATGCAACTCTACCCACGTGTCATTAGCTTCGTGCCTCTCAAGGTAGCAAGCTAACGTTTAAATAACCTAGCATAGGCTATTGCCTTGTAAAACTTTATCCAGAACAATAAATCTAAGATAACAGTAAAATATATCAGTGTTAGTAACGTTATCTTTGTTGGCCTCAATGAAATGCATTGTTTGTCTGAAATCTTTACTTCTCTGCAAAAAATAACAAAACTCTGCTGCGGTCAATTCTACGGTAATTATACCTTCATCATACGTGACTGTTTAAACAATGAACATGGAAGCACGTTTCTTTGTTTACTCTATATTTTTCTAACACACTTGGTAACTTTATGGTGAATAGTGGAGGGCAGAAAACGTGAACGCACATTAGGAAGACTGTTTTATGACCATTGCACCTACGTATAGAGCGGATCTGATTAGCTTAGCTTCATGGTTGCCAACAGCTGCACTAAATAATCAAGACTTGCTGTTTGTTTAGATTCTTATGGGTGGACAAAGACTTTCAGCCATTAGATCGTTATCGGCATTCACCCGCCGCTCCCAATATCGGTATCAGTGATGGGAAACTTTCCATATCGGTTGGGCTCTAGAATTGAACTGTAGGTCACTAAATAAAAAAGATTTTTCTTTGCTTGTTAAGTATAACCAACTAAATGAACATCCCTCTGAAGTAAGGACTACAGTGTTTTGTAGCAGCACTTTTTACCACTTATTTTAAATCAACTCGATAAAACATTAAAATGCTAAAACAACATTTATAAACTCCATTATTCAGGTGAATATTTGAAAACGTAAGGAAAACTCTGTACCTGGACAAACATCGCAGTCGTCATCCATCTGTTCCTCATCCCCCTCGTTTGTCTCTTCTTTCTCCTGCTGCTGCTCCTCTTCCTCCATTCTCTCCTCTTCCTCAGCAGGAGACGACTCAGCGGCTTCATTTATCTTTCTGCCTCTCAGCCTGAGGCCCCTTCTGACAACAGAAACAGCAAAAAAAACAGCTCAAACTGGTTGGAAATGACATTTAAACAGTTTGATTAATTTTAATTACATGCATAAATAAACTTTCCTCCCACAGACCAACAACATGCATGTTAGGCTGCCTTCAGGCCCAGGCCTCCCTTGCAAAAGGGATTTGTGATCTCAGGGGGGATTTGCCTGGTTAAATAAAGGTTAATAATAAATAAACTAATTTCATGTTCATGCAGTTGTTCAGGAATTGTTACTGAAGCTGCAGAACAACCGAAGTTCAACGTTTTTAAGTGTGAGAACCATTTCATTTTGCATGTTGTAGATTTGATCTAAAGCTACGGAACGAACGCTACATTAATACGTTTTACCTTCGAGGAAACTGAAGTTGAGGAGAACTGGCTGGCGCCTCCGGTGACGGGGATTTCTGGAAGAAAAAAAACGCATCATACAAATGATAAAATCTGTCAGAATCATGAGCTCCATAAGCCAGAGGAGCTAAAAACAACGACTAAAATCTGTTCAACTAGACTGCTCAGGGTTAGAAATGACAGCTCTACTGCTCAGGGGGCCACAGTTACTGAGAGCCAGCAGCTCAATTAAAGTCATTATGTAAATAAACCAAGAATTAGAATTATCTGTTACCTTTTAAACTGCTTTATTTTGTTGCACTGATTCACAAATACAATAAACAGAACCCAAAACCCAAACCCAGACCCCCCCCGCCCGCACTCAAAAAAAATATATATATATTTTTTAATGAACTCATTGGTGGGCCGGACTGAAGTCACCCGCGGGCCTCTTCCGGCCCATGGGCCGCCAGTTGAGTAGTCCTGGTTTAAAGCAACATTAAATTAAAACACCAATATTTACAATAACAAGAGAAATTACATTTTCTGTGACATGTAGCATGAATGTTTGGTGCTGAATGACCAAATTAATGAAGAAGCTGAAACAAAGACGCTATAGCAAAAAGAAGCAGAACGATAGCTAAAAGCTAAATGCTGCAACAGACCAGCTGAAAGCAAAAAAAAAAAGAAGAAGCTAAAAGCAGAAAAAGGTTTGCCAGAAGTTGTTAAAGGATAGCTACAAAATGAAGTAGCTAAAGGGTAGCCAACAGCTAAAGGCAACAAAAGGGTAGCTGAATGGAGCAAATAGCTAGGTAAAAGCTAAAAGTAGCATAAAAAGACAAAAACGAAGCCAGTATGATGTAGCAGATTTCAGAGACGAAGACTGAAGGAACTAAAACGATCTCATGTATTTCTATGGAAAAGGTATTTGTACACAAAGTTTAATATTTTGAATAATATAAAAGTTACCAAAAAAACAAGTCACAGCATGTGTCTATTGAACGAGTTAATCGTTTGGATGTGTGAATGGATAAAATAACACAAAGTATGCAAAAGAAGTAGAACGTACAAACGTTTAAAAGCCAAACACCAACAGAATAAAGTAGTCCCTCGATTATCGCAGGGGACCCGTACCCTGAAGACCCACGATAAATGAAAAACCGCAAAGTAGGAATAGTAGTATTATATATATATATATATATATATATATATATATATATATATATATATATATATATATATATATATGTCATGATCTCAGCTCTCTGCCTCCTCTGGCACCTGCCAGTGTGATTGGCCACGCCCACCTCTCTGCTGCAGAGCGGAGATCATGACATGTTGCAGGAGGGAGGTTCTCCTGCAGCTTGGGCTGCACACAGGTGCTAAATAATTTAAAATAATTTATTTTGAATTAAAATGACATGCCGATCGTGCAGCTCATCATCAATCAGTGTATGTCATGTCCAATCTTGTTTAAAAAAACGCGACACAGCGAGTCCTTGAAAAAGGAACCATGAGGTAGCGAGGGACTACAGTAATGTGAAAGCCGTTTGGGCTCGTTCAGCTGTGATTCGGTCACCTCTGGCTCCGGCAGGACGGCCTCCCCCCACTCAGCCTTCCTCAGCAGACACCTCTGAGCTCGTTTCAGGCTCGTCTGGTAAACCTCCATCTGAGCCAGGATCACCTGCGAGACACAAAAACATCTTCAGAAACCAAATGACGTTGCCGCAGACTTTTAATATTTAATTTAACTATAAAACTGCTAAAGCTTCAATCAGCAAACTTGGAAGTTTTCTATTCAACTCATTATATTTTTTAATTAACTGATAAATATCCATCCATCGTTATCCGCTTCTTGGGTCAAGGGGGTCACTGGGCGAGGGGGAGGAGACACCCTGTCCATCACAGGGACACATGGAGACAAACGAGACAAACAACCATTCACTCTCTCTCTCACTTAGGGACAATTTAGAGTTACCAGTCAGTCTAACATGCATGTTTTTTGTCTGTGGGAGGAAACTGGAGTACCCGGAGGAAACCACACATGTACGGAGAGAACATGCAAACTCCACCCAGAAAGGCCCCTGGCCGGGATTTGAACCAGTGATCTGCTTCTTGCTGAGAGGCAGCAGCTCTACCAACTGTGCCACCGTGCTGCCTAATTGATATAGATATCAGATTTAAATTGATCAAGTCAATCCAAGAATAAATTACAGATCACTGTAAGTAAGATAATTCTTGTTGGAGCTGTGCCTCTGCCTGCTCCTACAGCTGACACTTAAAGGCCTAATGACCAGTTTACTGCGGTCACCTGTGTGTACGTGTCTGGGTCCAGGCCTCCAGGGCAGAAGGGAACCCCCCAGTAGTAGTGGACTGTTGGACCGCCTGATGACTCCCCAGGAGGGGGGGATTCCCTGCAGACCTCCTCCCGCTGCTTGCTGGTGGGACATATTTCTTCATCTGTGGTGGGAAGCTGCTTCCTGCAGGTGGATGTAGAAGCTACAGGTGATGAGTATCAATTCTGTTCTTCATCAGAAATAAATGAAACGAACAAGAATTAAAAACCTAAAATAAACCTGTACACATCACCAGGAAGGCAACACGCTGGAACGTCTTGGTCAAGTATGCAGTTCAGTTTTACTGGTATTGTGCAAACATTTGGTGAGGTAGTAGCTGGGAGTCATTCCCAACACGTACTCTGAGCACTTAAAAAGAAACAACACAAGACCGTTGTTCCAGACTTTTACCGTTGTAAGGCGTAGGCCAGTCCTGGCCCTGGAGGGCCACAGTCCTGCATGTTTTAGTCGTTTCCCTGCTCATCGGTAAGTTTTCATGTTCATAACTCATTCATGAACTTAAGATGTGATGAAAGTGAGAAACGTCTAAACAAAGGGTGCCCAGTACGTTGATCACGATTTACTGGTCCATCTCAAAGGTAAACTGGGTAGATCTCATGGCATTAAACAAACAGAAATCAGCCGATCATCTATGAAATGTGTCTCCTGACTGACAGACAGGGCAGCCAGTCTGAAGACCCGTTTACACGACGTGAAGCGTTTGTTCATTTACAGACGACATCCTCATCCTCTCTGAACCGAAGGTTCTGAGTCCAGGTCTCAGACTGGAGGTTCTATTTCATATAGGCTTCGCCCTTTAAGGCTGTCGCTGATGGGTTTATCCCGTTATGCAGAGCATAAGCATTTAGGTCAAAATACTATAACTTTAAAGCCACAGTACTATAGTTCATCATTTCTTATCTGGCAACCTGACAGCTGTAAACTACAGCAGTTTTCGTGTAAACCTGTTCATTTTTTGTTAATTATCCCATTAAACACTGAAAAAGCACTAATGCTTCCAGAGGTTGTTCTGTGTAAACGGTAGATCACTTTGACTTGGTCATTTTAAAAGGAGCTGCATGATGAAACAGTCTGGACACCCCTGATCTAAACCATGCAGGTGGTGGCCCTCAAGGATCGCTGGTCTACCTGTGTTGTATAAGTAAACCCTCCAGTTTTCTTTAAAAGTGAACACAGACGAACAGAAGAACTTTTAAAAGTAACCAACTGTTTTCATGTGAAAACAGCAGTTCTTTAAATGAGAGACAGAAAGAAAGCATGATTTTAGTAATGACAGGTCTATATCGCCCTCTGCTGGACAAAAACTGAGAAAACCACCACATGTTTGTTTCATTTCTTTTTGTTTCCCAGTGCTAAATATGTTGAAATACTCTCAGCCAGAGCCTGTAACCAGCCTGATCCGTCACGTGAGGATCCTGTACCTGCAGTCAGAGCTGGTTTGTCCCTGAGAAGCTGCAGCCTCGTGGGTGAGCGAGGCAGCCTGACCCTGAGGAAGAGGCTTCTCTTCTGGGAACACTGGACTGGCAGAGTCGGCCAGCTGCAGCACAGAAACAAAGCACGAGTTTTCATATTAAACAATTCTGATAGCTGCTGAAAATGGTAGAAACAAACAAAATTGAACTGAGTTCTTTGATTTTCTAACTGGAGTGAATCTAAAAGAAACAGCCTAAATGAATAAAACCGTTTGCTCCGAGTGTTTCAGCACCGTGTTGTCGTCCTCGTCCTCATCTGTCCAGGCTAACGTCATATCACTCAGCAGCTTGGTCTCAGCACGGCTCCCGTCTTTGGACTTTTGGGTCAGCTGTTCTGAAACGTGTGAAACAAGAAAACGCAGCCAGTAAGACTCTGATCTCACAACAAGCCGTTGATGAAGGCGAAGCAGAGTGACTTTTAGTTTACCTGACGTAGAAGGTCGGGTGTAGAACTCATCTGCTTGACAGCCATCAGACTTTGTCTCCTTCATTTAAAATAAAACAAGACGATATAAACAAAACATACTGGATCAGATGTAAAACCTGAAGAAATGTTCTGTGGCTCAAGAGGTTTATTCTTGAGACAGGGGTCTGGCTTGGCCCAGTTTCGTGCTAACTAACAGCTTCCAAGGTGAAAACGAGTTTCATGAGCCCACTCTTCTAAAGTTTCCTGATCTTATATGTAAAGATAAAAATGACAGACCAGAAACATGTTAGACTGACCGGTAACTCTAAATTGTCTCTAGGTGAGAGAGAGAGTGAATGGTTGTTTGTCTCGTTTGTCTCTATGTGTCCCTGTGATGGACTGGAGACCAGTCCAGGGTGCCCCCCGCCTCTCGCACAGTGATGACAGGACATGGGCACCAGTGACCCCCACGACCTGAAAAGGAAGAAGTGGGTAAAGACGATGGACGGATGTTTGACATTTCTAATAGGTGTTGGGACATTTTTTAATTTTTACAAGCAATGAAATAATGTGCACGACCAACAATATGGTTTTGCAAAATCCATCCATTATCTTTACCGGCTTCTTACTTTTTGTGTCGCAGCAGTCACGGTGCGAGAGGCGGGGGACACCTGGACATGTCTCCAGTCCATCACAGGGACACATAAGAGACAAACAACCATTCTCTCTCTCACCTCGGGACAATTTAGAGTCACCAATCAGCCTAACGTGCATGTTTTTGGTCTGTGGGAGGAAACGGGAGCACCTGGATAAAACCCACGCATGCACGGAGAGAACATGCAAACTCCTCCCAGAAAGACGCCCGGCCTCGCGCTGAGAGGCAACAGCTCGACCAACGGCGCCACCGTGCGCCAGTTTTGTAAAATGTGCACTAAATATGTAGAAAGCTTCACAAATGAGCCCTGAAACTCACAGCTGCACTCAACACACCTCATTTTAAAGTTTGTTCATGTTCTTCAGAACAAAAGTTCAGCTGGACGACTGAGAAAACACTCGGGACATTAACTCAAAATGAAAATTAACGTTTTGATGGAATGATGTGTAGAAAATATTTGAGCCTCTTGTCATCTTGTACTTTTGATTTTGTTTCTCAAACTTGTTTTTATTTCAGATGTAGGATGAGGTAAAGCTCCTTCCTTCCTTCTTTTGTGTCTGCCTCCTCCTGAACTCACCTCTTTGCCGTCGAGCTTCTCTTCACGATCAGAACCTCGGAGCTCTGAAGCCACAGGCGTTTTCTGCTCGTGGGTGAAAGTCCTCCGCTGTGCTTGAGTTGTTCCAAACACTGGACTCACGGGCTGCTCGCCGTTCTCCTCGGCCTGCTCTCCAGCCAGGCTCTTGTGGAACGACAGCCCGTCTGACGGGGGGAGGATGTTGGTAGTTTGTGAACTTTTAGGGAACACCGGGCTCTTAGAGCAACAGGACCTCACAGAGAGGGATAAACTGTCCTGGGAGGAGAACTCGACCTCTGAGTTTTCACAGTCGTGACGTTTGCAGCAACTTGGAGACGTCTCATGCTGAGCCTTCCTGACAAAAGCAGGACTCGGCTCCACCTGTCCATTGTCCACCTGTCCTGTCCCTGAGAACACGGGACTTTTAGGACAGGATTCAGCGTTACTCCGGGGAAACGTGGGGCTCCTGGGCTCAATGTTCCAACTGTCCTGAGAGCACAAGACGAAGCCTGAGCTCCGGCAGGTCTCCACCATATCCTGGCTCAGTCGGTCGATGTGGACCACTGCCCTGCAGCCGGTCAACGGAAACACCGGGGACATGTGGAGCTGGGAGTCGTCAATCTGGGTCGAGTCGGAGCTCTGAATCACCAAGAAGGGAAATCATAAAAAGACGTTTTTAAAGATCGTCTGCAGCCAATAAATGTTCCCCAAAATAAAACGAATCAAACTGTGACAGACCTGTGGAGAGTCCAGAGGAGCAGAGGAAGGCTCCACTCTGTCGGGGGAAACCTTCTGACTCACGGACAAGTCCGGCATCTCCAGCAGAGGACTTCCTGCTTTTCTCTTCCGTTTCTTTTTACAGGGAATGTTTTCATCTCCAGCTCCTTTCGCTTCTAAGAAAACATCACAGTATGAGTGAAACATCCATCATTTCTTACATATTGCCAACGATCACGGTGGCCATCTTGAATCAGATTCACTCCAAAAGTTAATGCTTAAGCTTGAAGCAAAGATCTAACAACGTTAAGTCGGGTCCTCTGGACGGATTCAAAAATAAATAAACTGTTGAAACGGTTCGTCTTTTATCCAAAAGACTTCTTCAGTCTGAGGAGCTGCAACAAACTCAGTCTTATAAACAGCACCTTCTCATAGTGGATCAACCAGTTTGTTGTTGACAGCCAGAACCAGCTGTTCACATGATAAAGGACCATCAGCCTAACAATTGATGGCTGTTTGCTATTCGCAGGGGGCTGAGTGATACTAGCAATAACAGCACTGTAAGAGGGGGACAGTTGAACACGGATGCCCCCGCCCCTGTTTAATGATGGACAGGTTCTCTTCATAAAGATGGCTTCCTTCACTCCACAGGGGCAGAGACCTCTGTGTCCAGTTGTCACCTTCAAATCTCCTGATGCATGCAGAGCACGCACCAGGAGATTTGAAGCAAAGATTTTGTTCAGTGAGTACAACTTTGAAGTGTAGATGTGACAGATGCTCAGCTACTACCACAACACATTTTAGCACAATTTCTGTAAAATTAACTGAATTATGGCCATTTTTGTCTTGCTGAGGTGAGTTGGCTGAGGAGACCAACAAGAACTGAATTAGCTCCTAAAGTTATTCAGTTGTAGATGTTCATCAAATGATTCAAATAAAAAAATTAAATAATGTGCCCCAAGTCCTAAAACTAGTCTCAGGTACCACCTAAACAAATTTAAGCTCCAAATCTGTAAAATTGATCGTTATAGCCATTTTTGTGTTTTAAGGACTGTCGGCTGTGGCAGCCATCTTGAATTGGACTGACTCCTAAAGTTGTTCGGTTGTAGATGAACATCTTATAAATACTTTTTGCAACATTCATGTAGTGGTTTATGACATATCTGGTAACAGACACAAACACAAAGACATGGTTAAAAGTCTAATTTTGTACCAGAATGTATTTATTCTTTGTTATTTTTCAGCTGTGGGTCTTGATAAAACTTTTACTCATCAGGGTTGATTAGCTGGAGGAAAATCCCTGCAGGACAATGACCCATGGTGGCGGACTCACCTGATGTCAGGTCGGTCTCTGGCGTGCTCCCGTCCTCCGGAACTGCCTGATCGGTGGCGGACATCTTCACTCCGTTAGAGTAGAAGAGCTTCCGTCGAGAGCCGAGCCCGAGGGAGGCGTCAGCGCGCAGAGGTTTACTCGAGGAGTTGAGACACGGTTGGGTCTGACTGACCATCTACAAGACAGAAAACATCGAAACGTTCCAGAGAATAAACGTTCAAACAGATGCTCTGCTACTCTTTTCCTCTAAAGTCTGCATCCATCTGTACACAACATGATGGGATCTACAAAGCACTTGGATTATTTACTGGAACACTTTTAAGGTTCATAATCAGTTTGTGTGTTCAGAGAGCTTCAGGGGCTTTCAGACGTTATGCTTCAGTAAAACATCAACATACAGAGGGTTGTTCTCCTGTCAGGAGCAACCTTTGATTTGGGACACTGCAGAGACTGAACCACCCTCAGATTAAATCTGTCTAAATGATTCATTTCTACAGGATCTTCATGCTAGCCATTAGCCAGCTGGGAGGTGTAATCCTTTCAGGAATGTGTACTCACGCTCTCCTGGATGGCTTTCATCACGGCCTCCTCCTCCTGCTGCCGTTGAAGCGCAGAGGCGCTGGCTTCCCGCTCGCTCAGACGCAGAGCGAGGTCCATCATCTCCTCTTCTGTCATCTCCGAACCAACAGCTGGAAGTCACAAACACTTTAATCTAAGAAACTGGTGAAAAATCATTTATCCTGTTTAGCGGCTGAAGCTAGTGCTAAAATATATCACGCACATAATAAACATTTAGGCCAGAGCTATTCAACTAAATTGCTCAGGGGACCACAGTTACTGCAGCCAAGAGCTCAGGGGCCGGACATCCAGCAGTCACTGTCATTAAGTAAGTTTGTTTTATGGTTTTAAATCCAGTTTTATTTAAAATTAACCCATTTAGTGGGTCAAACTGAGTTCACCAGTGAGCCTAATTGGGCCCCCGGGCCACCAAGTGAAAAGCCCTGATTTAGGCTATCACCTCACTGGGCTGTGACCTTTGGGAACATCTGGTGAGGGAGCTCCTAAAATGTCTCCAAACTTTCCTAACGGGTCTTAATGTCTGTGTGTGGACCTTGCTCTCATGCCACAGCAGTTTTTTATTCAGAGTTAGTCACAGAGTTGTCGCAGGCACCTGGAACACGTCTAAAACCATCCCCAGTTTAGTCAGAAAGTGTGAGAAATGCAAGACGACGTTGGGAACAACAAATAAAATAAATTGTTCTCAAACGGAGATACAACTGCCATCAAACAATTTCTGTAAAACGCAGAGTGGGAGAAAGTGAAATAAACCAACCTCTGCTGAGAGAGTCTGTCTGTTAATGTGACTGCAGCAGTTCAGATGTATGGCTTATTAAAAAGTAATAAAAAAAACATAAAGCTCTGATTCAGTCAGACTGCTGTCAATAATGGAAAGCAGTGTGTGAAAAATTAATGTACTTTTGTTTATGGCTTTCTTTTCCAGCTTCCTCCAGCGTTTCTCTCTCGTTGATGTCGATGAAAGAAGTAAAGACGAGAACTCGTCCTAAAACAACAGAAATCATTTCGAAACGTTTAGTTCACTTGAACCTTCAATTATAAAGAGAGAATCTGCAACAGGAGAGCTGTTAATACAAGGCGGTTCTGATGGAAATGTAAACAAGTATCCATATAATGTTTTATAGTTTTATCAAGTCTCAGTTTTCTTCTAATAAACATTGCAATATTTATTTTTCTTTAAGCGTACGCCGGTGTCTCCGTCAGTGGCTGAGTCATCCTCCTGCGTGTCTTCATCCATCTGTTGGCTGTCGGAGGAGAAGTGCTTCACCTGTTTTCTCAGAGCCATTCTGGTTTCTTTTTGAGTAGCTGTAATAAGAAAAAATAATAATTATAACGATAAAAGTTTGACAATTCAGCTCCAGTTGTAGTTGGTTTTTTTAAACCTTGTAATTACACCAATTTTATTCAGCATCATTGGATTTTTCATAGGATCTGCATTAGAAAATGTTAAAGATAAAGCATAATCATCAAAATAACAAATTAAATACTAAACACAGTCCAGTGTGTTTGTTGGGTTTAAAACTAAATGCTTTTATAATACTTCCTCTACTGATCCAGTCTGTAATAGTTGTTTTCAGCAACCTTGAGACAAATATATATTAATATATATATTTCCCCCAAAACTGGTCAAAAACTGAGTGACAGTCAAAGTTCAAAGGAAAACGTTGACAGACATTCAGATGTCAAATTACAGGAAGGTCTGGTTTAATAAAATAATTTAATGAAAAATGTCCCAAGACTAGTTAAACCTGCTGCTGCCCTTGGGTCAAATTGAGGCCTCTGTTGTTTCAAAAACTGTCCACGAAGTTGAACTAAAACCGCTTTTTAAAATTAAATATCAGATTAAAGGAGATTTTCTTCATTTAAATTCAATCACTTGCTGTTGATCTGTACGAGCACTCAGAAACAGGAAGAGGCTGAAATGACAACGAAACAAAATAAAACCGCAATAAATTAATTATTTAAAAAGTCCTTCACAATAAAACACCGTCTGAGCGCTACATGCTCACAGGAACAGCGCGTGAACTGGAAGCAAACCGTAGGCAGCTCAAAACAGCGGGTAAAGTTAGCAGTTTGTTGGTTTTAACTGTTTAAATTACACCTAAACAAAAGAAGAAATTACGTTTTAGTTTAATCGTTTACTTAACAGCTACCGAAAACATTTACAAACTAAACATATTCAGCTTTAAAACGCTCACAGCATATATTTCCCGTCACTTTCGCGGCGCCATGTTTGTTTCAGTCGGGGGAGATCACGTGACAGTGACGTCAGACGTAAAAACGCACGCAGCCTTGGCCTGAACAGTTAATTCTTTAATTCAACCTTTATTTAGACAGATTAATCACATTGAGCCACGGGGACTCATTTACAAGAGAGGCCTGATTTCTTAACAAAGAGTGACGACAACAGTGAATAACTAGACAATCATAAAAGAAGCATACAAATTTATTATTATTATTTTTTTAACTAAAAGCTATTGATACAAAGGGGTAAAAATAACAACTTTACTCAAGTCCAGCGACTCTAAAACCAAAACAGACCACTACTTTGTTATTATGAGGGAACCAGCACGTACACAAAAAAAAATCATAGTACATGTCCATTTATTTTATTTTTGAATAGGTTCAACTTGTGAAAAGATTGTAGGTTTTAAGAGTGACATTTATCGTTAATTAAAGGCTTTTCGAATTAAACTTAACAAATATGAGCAGCCGTTCATGAGTTAAATAACCATTATTGGAGCTGTTTACTAACAGTTTCCGTAGTGTAGTGGTTATCACGTTCGCCTAACACGCGAAAGGTCCCCGGTTCGAAACCGGGCGGAAACATTTATTTTAGGTGCAGCTTTTGGACAGAGCAGGTGTTGTAGAGCCGTGAGTATCTTGATAATAACAAAAATAAAAGAGTAAAACTAAGAATTTAATTTATAAAATGAGAGTTGATGCAATACCACTGTCTGTGAGGTATACAAGAGCACTCAATCAAAACACAGAAGAAGCACCTTACAATTGTAAAAACGTATAATTTATTACAGTTTATGTATATTCTTATTTGTTTTTTTGGGGTCTGAAAGATTTACATGAGATCATTTTCAAATGATGCATACATATTCATTCAACTTTTATTTATACAGGTTAATCCCATTGAACCTGGAAGACTCATTTACAAGAGAGACCTGATTTCTTAAAGAGTGACGACAGCAATAGACAATAATAAAATAGGCATGAAAATTTAAGTTTCTCTCTTTTTTTTTTTTTTACAAATCGAAACAAGTTAGCAACTAAAAGGACAATCAAGAGGAATAGCAGCAAAAACAGTTAGATCACAAGGCGATTTAGAAAACTAAAAACAGGAACATGTCTGCATTGGCTTTTGCCAGGTACTGAGCAGGGTTTTAAACTCACTTATAGAGGTCAAGTTTGAGAGCTTCAGATCTTTTTGCAAGATATTCCAGGAAACATGGACGGTGTAGGAGAAGACCCTTTAGCCTGGTTCAGATCTCAATGAGGGGACACTGCAGGTAATAATGTCCTGAGAGCGCACGCTGTAGCTGCACTCACGCAGAGACATGTAGGAGGAGATGTATGAAGGCAGCAGACCAAGAAGTGGTTTAAAGATGAAAATGTGCCAATGGAAGAGTCTGCGTGAGGTCAATGATAAATATATATATATATATATATATATATATATATATGCACATATGTATGGGATGTAGTCAGAGACAGAGCAGAGTGGGATTAAAGACGGGATGAATCAGAGGAGACAACAAAATAAATTGGACTCCATTCATCCAGAACCTTTCGGGTATTGTGAACCACTCAAATGTTTAATAATGAGCCTCATTCATCTGTTCAATCCTTTTTATTTGATATTCTGCGCATTCCTCTCTGGCACGCACTCAGAATCAGGAGTGTTCAAGGGTTTAGTGTTTGGGTTGAGAATATCTCAATCTGTACCTCATAGTAAGGCAGCACAGTGGTTTAGTGGTCAACACCTTTACCTGACAGCAAGAAGGTCCTCAGTTCAATCCCTGGTTTGGACCTGGGGTCTCCTCAGGTTTGTGTGGATTTTCTCTGGAAACTCTGGTTTCCTTCCACAGTTCAAAAACAATAATGTTATATGCAAAACATAATAATAATGTGTGTGTGTGCAAAACTAAACTTTCATTTTGAGTCAGGAGTTTGGACCTGGCCCTCCAAGACCGGACTGTCAGGTTTTTCCCCCTCAGCAGCAGGATCTGAGCAGGACACCTTCTCGTTCGTTGCAGACTCAGCCAAAGCAAACCTGTTATCAGATAAAATGTGTGACTGCCTGCGGCTGCGTGGCTTCACCTCCACGGGGACGTAGTAGCTGCTGAAGCATCTACACATCCGCTTCCACATGATGTACACGAACTCCACAAAGTTCAGAATGATGCACAGAATGGAGGTGCAGCCCATGATGTAGAGGAAGATCTTCTTCTCCGTGGCTCGGGCGATGTAGCAGTCCACCGTGTTGGGGCAGGGACTCTGGCTGCACTGCAGCAGGATGGGCATGTCAAAGCCGTTGAACAGGAAGTAAAAAGCCAACAGGGAGCCAATTTCAAAGGCGGCTTTAAAGATCAGGCTGACGGTGTAGGTGCAGAAAAGACCTCCATCGATGCTTCCTTTGTCCTGGTAGAGCTTTCGTTTGAGTTTGGCCTCGCGGTTCTCCCTGTACGCCACATGCAGGGCCACCAGCAGGGAGGGAGTGGACACCATGATGAGCTGCAGGGCCCAAAGGCGCACCTGCGAGATGGGGAAGAAAAAGTCGAAGCAGACGTTTTCGCAGCCAGGTTGCTCCGTGTTGCAGACAAAATCTTTCTGCTCGTCCTTCCACACCTGCTCGGCGGCAGTGACATACACCAGGATCCTGAAAACAAAGACCACGGAGAGCCAGATGCGTCCGATCACAGTAGAGTACTTGTTCACCCCGCTGAGGATGCTCTCCAAAAACCCCCAGTTCATCCTCTGTTCTCCTGCAAGGAGATAAGTCAGACGTTAGGTCCGGAAAAAAAGTCCAGTAAAATTCACCTGAATTACAAATTAGTTACATCATTGAACTTAAGGCCTGCGGGCCAGATGTGGTCATTGTTACACTTTCAATTGGCCCACAAGAAAACACTTTAAATGTTTTAGAAGTAGCTTTCAGTCCAAGACAAACAGTTTCTGTTGCTCTTCATTTTACCTAAAACCTGGACATTAAACTTTTATACTTCACAACCCACATGGTAATCAGCTCATGAGCAAAAACAAACAAACAACAACAAAAAATGAACGGTAAAGCAAAGCAGATTTGTTTGTTCTGTATTTTTATATACGATTAATGTAACTATGTTTGAATTTTTTAGAAATTTCTTTAGCTGATTAAATTAATTATAAAACTGTTATTATCAAAAAATATAATGTAATTGCTATAATTTGCCAGACAGTTACAACATGCCCTGTATTAAAGTGGTGGAAGATCATCAGTGTGGTGAAAACAATTTTTGATCTGCTAGATTATTTGTCTCGGTTCAGAATAACTAGTTGTCTTCTTCGGCTCCTAAAGGTACTGTCCCATTGATTGTTGCAGACGTTTGGCAACTTCAAACTGTCAAGAAATATTATAATTTTAAGTTGAAGTCTCACTGATTTCTGAGTGTTCCCAACCAAGTCTTACAGCCATAATTTGATTGGCCAATTAAAAAAAATCAAGGCTTGTTTTCATGTGCACAGCTGGTAAAACTACATTTTTAGTCACATTTGTCACTCAGCTCTGCCCACAGGCTTGCTTTGTACCATGTTTATGATTTAACCTGCTGAGTGGGTGTTTTTTCCACTGCCCCCACTTCTGCGAGCGTTACTACAGTAAGTAAACTCACACAAACCACACAAACCTGCAGCTGTAGGATAATGAGACCGTAACACTGACCACCGAGCTACAGCACCATTTAAACTGCAGGAGTACACACTGGAAATAAAGATTCCATTCCATTAGTAGGAAAGTGTAGGAAAATCCTTTAAATCTATGTAGACAGTGCCGTTTTACACATCCTTATAGTTTTATTCCACATTTTATTATTTCTTTCTTGTTTTGAAAAAAGCATTGCTCATTGAGCCACAGGGTCCCATGAGACCTGTTGAGACAGACGAGAACGTGATCGTGGCTAAAAGTTTGACACAATTTAGTTTTTCTTTTTTGAAAATTTCTAAGAAAGCTCAAGACAAAAAGGAAAACATGAAATCCTAAAATGACAGCAACAACAAAAAAAACATGTTTACAAACTAAAAATGCTAAATAAAATAGGAAATCCCACTTTTTTTTTTTTAATGAAATCAAAGTTAAAACTTACATTTGCTTTAGTTTTGTTAAATTCAGTTCTATTCAGTTAATTTATAGCAGCAAGTCACAACAGAAGTCATCTCAGGACACTGTATGAAAACATTCACATAGAAAAAGCCATTTAGTAAAAGTTATCTATCTAAGGAAGCAGCAGTGTTGAATCTACACATCATTGTAATCTCCATCCTGAGCAAACACAAAGGCAACGGTGGAAAGGAAAAACTTCCTTTTAACAGGAAGAACCCTCCAGGCTCAGAACAACAGTTATCTGCTTCGACCGGCTGGGAAACAAATAACCCAACACAGAATGACAGGTCCAGGGGAACTTTCTAAAGGAGAAACGACAAAACCACATGTTAAGATAGAAATAATTACAAATACGAACAGGTAGAGTAGAGATGTGTTCCGAGCTATGTTTAATATTATTATTTTACATTATTAATGTTTAGCGTATATCTTAGATATTTTAGCGTTCCTTTAGCGTATATCTTAGGTCCTTATATACTGCTTCTTTTTATACTTTATATTTTTGCTATTTTGGGGAGTAACTGGGACCTTGAGTACACAATTTTGTTCCACCTCATGTACCACATGTAGTGCGAGTGACATTAAAGATACTTGAACTTGAACTAGAGCAAGTAAAGACAGCAGTAGAATGAGGAAATGTGGTCAATTTGTCCTCCAGCAGTCTAAGCCTATAGCAGCATAATAGATAGCGGAGGAAACCCAAGCCAACCCTAATTATAGGATAAAAAAATAAATAAAGAATAAAGCCTAATCCTAAAACTGGACAATGTGTCAGACTCACAGACAGAAACTGGAAGTTGATTCCACAAGAGAGGAGCCTGATAACTGAAAGCTCTGCCTCCCACTCTACTTTTGGAAACTCTAGGAACCACAAGTAAACCTGCAGTCTGAGAAAAAAGTGCTCTGTTAGGTTTGGATCAAGCTATTATTTATGACAGAGAGTTAGGGTTAGGGTGAGAGATTAACAGGACAAAAACAGTCCAAACATAAATCAGGTTCTAGTGACATTTCTAAAGCTGCCTCATCTGACAGGGAACCAGAGCCAATTGTACGGATGATGTGAATTTTCTCCCTAATTGAAATAATTGTATTTATAAAGAATCTCGTGAAATCATCACTATTGCTGTAGGGAAACATGGCTCAACAGATATAGGACTTTTCATTTTTCTAGCTAAAGTACTGAACAGAAACCTGGGTTTATTTTTATTCTCATCTATTAATGATGAATAATATACAGTTCTAGCTCTACGGAGAGCATTCTTATATGTTAGCAGGTTATCCCTCCAAGTTCATTAGAAAAAAGAACAATTCTGTTTGGTTTAAGTTTGAAGCTTAGTTTTCACCTTTAACTACACATATTTTGCATTAACAAACAATTTAGCTCAGATTTAGCTGTTTTAGTAAAAGGGTTTTGCCAGAGAAACAGATTAAAAATCGTACTACTGTCACTACTTATACAAGTCCCTGTCTTTGACTCATTCATATAGTTTTATCTTCCATTTAAAATGTTCCGCAGTCAGTTTTCAGATACCAAGAGTTTCTCCAGAGCCAAGTTTTCCACTCAAACTAATTTGCAAATAATCAAATGAATCTGTAGCCAGTAGTCAGCCCTGCCGAGCATGTTATTGAATATTGCTGATTGACGGACATTTGCTCAGCTTTCCCACAAAGATTTAACGTCTAATAAATTCACAGACGTCAGGATGGTTTTATTCAAACAACTGTCACCAGAAACACTCCCAAAGGGAGAAAAACAAGTGGAGCTGAAATATCACATGACTCGATGGGCTGATATAAGGAGGTGACCAGTTAGACAAACATCCTCTGCATTCATAGCAGAAAATTAATCTAAATTAAAACACACAATTCCAGTTTCCCAATGTAGTTTCAATGGGGTCCATCCAAACATGATAAAAACTTGTTTTATGAAATAAACTGATGTAAAAAACTTACCGATGATGTCCTGAGGTGGAGTTTAACCAGGTGTCGTGCTTCTATGCTGTCCTCTGTCTGATAACCTGCAGGGCCACAGCTCTACCTGAGCAGACTCACAACAAGCAGCAGCGTCACGCCAGAAACAGACACCATGAACCTTTTCTTTTAGGACAGCCCTTTCTGTGAAAGCAGCAGCAGCAGGTGCCTCGGAGCTTGCCTCTTGTTGGTAAAATAAAATGTAAAATGATCGAACCCCACTGTGGAGCTGCCTAATGCAAATAAAGCATGTTGCCCGTCCTGTTCAGGAACAATCACCACACAGCTGTAGTGTGTTTTTTGCCTCCCGTACCTGCCCAGTCTCACTGAGTGACTGGTGAACTGGGATCACGTTACTCTGCTGATGGTGAGTAAATAATACATAGCCTCGGGCTTGAGTTGTCCCTGCCTCTGACTCACATTTGTCACATTTTGACCACAACCAGAGCAGTTCATGAAGAACTTCTTGCCACTTTATCCCACAAAACAGATTCACGTTGATGGAAGTGAAAGTGTCTCAATTTTCAAATTAAAATGGATTAATAGAAATGCTTTTCATTTTCAAAATAAAGCTGCATGTTTTGACTCATATATAAAATAAAAAATAAATCATCCAAACTGCATTTTCATTTTCATATTCAAGACCGCTCAATTTGTAAATTAATTAAAATGATTAAAAAAAAGGTACACAGACCTAAAATAATGTTTCACGTTTAATTTTCAAAATATATCCCAGTAAAAAGTGACCAAAATTAATTTCGAAATGTCAAATTTGAAAATTAAACTGAATTAGCAGAAATGGTTAGTATCCAATTTTTCATTTTGGTTTAATAAACGAAAAAACATGCATGTTTTTGTTTTTTTCATTTTTTTGTTTCAAACGAAGAAACGAACTGCCTGAATGTACCGGGTCGTACACGGACCAGTTGCAGTTTGGATGATTTATTTTTTATTTTATTCATGAGTCAAAACATGCAGCTTTATTTTGAAAATGAAAAGCATTTCTATTAATCCATTTTAATTTGAAAACTGAGACACTGTGGCTTCCATACAGGTTATCAGGACATTTATCTGTCTAAATAAAGGTTGAATTGGATTGAACTTGTTGCATTTAGCCATGGCAGCCATCTTGAATCAGGATGACACAGATGCATTGCAATGATTATAATTACAACCCTTGCATGAGACATTTTGCTAACAGGCAGCATTTGTTAGCAGCCAGAACATCGTTGAGATCACTGACAACTACATTAGCTCAATAACTATTTTTGTGTTAGCTGTAGTGGCCATTTTGAATTTTAAACAAAGAGTGTTGCAAACCGTTACACTAATAACAAAGTTGGAGGTTCAAGTCAGCGTCAGCTACTACGGCGCCTAATTATAGCTTAAAATCTCTAAAGAAGACTGAGCGGTGGCCATTTTGACTTGTCGACCCCAAATAATTAGTTTGGGGAACCTCCAGTGATTGAGTTTTAATAGTTTTTGTCCAATATCGAGGCCTACAGTTTTAATGGGAAAAGCATTTTTCCCGCAGTCCTATGAAGTTTGTGGTAGTGTTTTGCACAATGCGTCTCCATGGTAACTTGAAATGTTAATAAAATTAGTAGTATACACGTCGAGGCCGAGCTGCTCGTTTTGATGTATA